CAGCCCGTTGATGAATATAAACTTAGATAAAATACTAAAGAAATTATTTTATAACTGATATGAAAGAAAATAAAACACAGAGAAAACTTGTTGCTCCCAAGTTAAGGGCTGGGTGGGCCCAAAAGTTGTTTTTTTTTTTTTGTCCCCAAACTTTAATCACCACAATTCCGTGCAAAACATTCTTATTTGATATAATCATGAACATATAAAAGTTTGGAGTTTGCACAATACCTTTTTTGTCAAAACTCAAACATCTGAAAATCCAGAAGACAAATGAAATTAACCAGCTCTTTAATGTTAGTTGCCTGCTGACGTATTGAGTTGCCCATTGTTATAAGTTTTTTTCTTGCATATTCTAGTAATTTTTTCTTAGCTAAGTGTAGACTAGAAGTTATTAGATAAAATAAATAATTGAAACGAATAAATCATTAAGTGTTGACTAGAAATAATTTGTGTTAATAAAAGTAATATTGTAAACTATTGATAACATTCACTTTTCAACTTTCAGATAAAGCGCATGCCAATATATACGCCATTAGTTTTTTCATTTAAGTTGAGGACTTATTTTATTTTAAAATAGTTGTTATTCTTTTTTGCAGCAACAAAGTATTGACAAATATAAAAGAAACAATTTACAAATACTTTAAAATCATTTGCTTCTAAAGTGTTGTTATTATAAAAACTTTATTTGTTACAGGAGCCTGAAAACTATTGACTTTTGAAAGTATTTCAAAGTACCACAATGTTAAATTTAATTTTAGACTGTGTTAAAAATCATTTAAACTAATATAATAAAAGTTATTGAAGTTATTAAACTTGAAGTTTTGAAGTAAGAAAAATTCTATTTCCTTATAATTTATTTCTAAAAACAATCTTATACTAAACATAATCTTTTGTTTGTTTATTACATTTTATGCATTTGTTTTAATTTTTATGTATTTTTAATATAGACTAAAATCATTTTCTAGATAAATTTTATCAGTTACCAATAAGATATTCTAAACCTAATTTAAGATCATAATTACATTACCTCAAAAGAATTTTAAATGACATTGAATTAAAATAGGAATTTTAAAAGTTAAAAGATTTCTTTTAAACAAAAACACTTCTTTTTTTTATATTTGTTCGCATATTATGATCTATTTAATTTATAACGGAGAGACTTGTGTTAGCAGTTAGCAGGTGATAAGAAAAAATATTAATAAAAGTTGCAAAACTATTTTACATTCCTTTAAACTAAACTTTACTTTCAACATTTTATTATATTACATTCCTTCAAAACTAAATTTAAATTTTTTAAATCATATTTAATTTAAAGCCTTTTGATTAAAAAAAAATTTTATAAAATAATTTTGTTTCTTTAAAAAATTTACAGTTGTGTTGGAATGGTTTTTTTTATTATCTAATATTTTTTGAATAAATGAAACCGACAATAAGTATTTTAAAAATAAGTAATTTAAAATTTATAAAATAAGTATTTTAAAATAAAAAGGTTTTGGCTTAATGTATAACTACTGAATGCGTACATAAATCTGTAATGCTTCTTAACAAGGCCTGTCAAAGTTTTTTTTTCAAACAAATTTAGTTTTATTACATTATCTCTAAATACTTACATAAAATTTGTAAAAAAGTAAAAATAAAAAAACAATAAAACTTCCTAGTTTTTAATTAGGAGGTATTATATAAGTAACATCCATTCTGTACAAATTAATTTTGATGTTCTTGAAGAACTTGTAGATACTGAAATTACTTGTGATAAGTGCAGACATATGTCTCCTCTAGTTTCGAAAAGTTACACATTTCATGCATTTATCACCCCCCATGTGCAGCTTCATGTTTTTTGAAAACCAAAGCCTTATGTAAGATGCTACGTAAAATTTCATCATCTTGTAATCATACTTGTATAGTATCAGGCAATTTTAATCTACCACTCATTAATTGGACAGTACCTTGAGCCTAGGTGATTGTCACGACTTGTTCATAGAAACTTGTAAGGTGAATGCCCTAACCCAGCTGATATCAAACAGTACCCGATTAAACAACATTTTGGATCTTATATTAACCAATGATAAAATCAATGTATACAACGTAGTAACTACAGTCCCATTCACCAGTACCTGCGACCATTGTACCATTCTCTTTAATTGCAAATTGGGAACCTTAATTAGCAATAAAAAACCATCATTTTCAATTTCATATAAATTTCATAAGGCAACTATAATAATATCAACAAAGATTTAATTAATGTAAACTGGTAGAAATTAGCAACATCATAATGTTGAATCATTCTGGCACGTTATATGTAGCATTTTGAATTCAAGCATTTTGTTGCACATACCTGCACTCCATTAAAAAAAAAAATTATTTACTAAAAAACACTGTTCAACCTTGCGCATTTCAAAATTTGGCATCTAAAAAAACGTATTTTATACCAAAAATATGAAAGAAATTTTAATTTAATACTTTCATCAAATATAAGAATTGCTCACATCTATGCGATGCTGAAATAATAAAAAACGCTATTAATAAGGAGAAAGATATTGTCAATAAAGAAAATATCAACGAATTTTGCTCTTTTATCAATTTTATCAATTCAAAATCCAAGTGTCACCATTCTGTTGCACCACTTGCATATTTTGAAGGTTCTCTTTGTTGAGACAATTGTAAAAAAACTCGTATTTTGAACAACTTTTTTGCCTCTGTCATAATCACTGACAACGGTGTTGGTCCTCCACTAAATTTTCCATCTCATCAAAACTCTTTAAGTAATGTATTATTTCCATATAATTCTGTCGTTTCATTTCTACAAAAGCTCCCAGTAAAGTTTTCCAAATCTCTGGGTGGTTACCCTCCAGTATTTTTAAAATCAATTGCAACTACCATTGCTATTCCTCTTTCTATTTTGTTCGAAATGTCAATGACCACTAATACTATATCTAAAATTTGGAAATCAGCAATAATTTGTCCAATATTTAAGAAAAGCAACCCTTCTCTACCAACCAACTACAGGCCTATTTCAATGACCTTTATCATTTGAAAAGTTATGGGAATCAATCATTGCTAACACCATAAAAAACTATCTGTTAGAATATAACTCTTTCTCAGCATCAATTCAGTTTTATAAATTTCAGATCCACATGTTCACAAATGCTGGCAACTTTAAATGAATGGACCACTGCGGTAAATAACAATAGTTAACATAAAAAAAAAAAGTTGACATCATCTATATTGATTTTGAAAAAGCTTTTGAATCAATAACTCATCCTAAACTTATGATCAAATTGCAATACTATGGAATTAAGTACAGTTAAATTAAATACTATTGATTTGGATTAAAAAATTTGTAACTAATCACTTTCAATGTGTGTATGTTGGTACCTCATATTCTGAAAACACTCCAGTTAAGAGTGGAATACCACAAGGAACTGAACTAGGATCTCTTTTGTTCTTAATATTTGTTAACAACAGTTTATTGCACTGATGGGATTGTGGCATTAAGCTGTTTGCAGATGATATTAAGTTGTATCGATCTAGAAATGATTACAACGACATTGATCTTGTAAAGACTTTTAAAAAAATCTTGGCATGGTCCAATGATTAGCAACTAAAAGTAGCAACTAACAAATGTTTTCATTTATGCTACGGAAGATATGATATACCTACTCTTCTATACTCTATCCTTATTCATTAAAGGGATCCCAAACTCTCAACACATGTTGTGTTCATATTAAAGATAATGTTAAAAAAAAAGTTTGAAACAAGTTTTTTTGATTAAAAATAAATAATAAATGCATACCGAGAAAAACTAATGTTGTTGTTTTAGCCGAAGTTCGCCTTATCAGTATGCATTCATTATTTATTTGTAATAAAAAAAAACTTGGTTCAAACCTTTTTTTTAACATTATCTTTAATATGAACACAACATGTGTTAGGAGTTTGGGATCCCTTTGAACTCTGTTATCAATATTGAAACTGTTTATTTAATTCAGGATATTGGAATCACCATATCCTTTGATACAAAGTTCTCTAATCACTGCTCTCGTATTTCAAGCATAGCATACTCTCGCATTTATTTACATTTAAAATCCTTTATCTTTAACAATTCTCAACTTTTGTTAAAAGCTTACAAAGTTTATGTGCCTGAATTAGAATCTTGCACCCCAGTTTGGAGCCCTTATCTTTTAAAAGATATAAATTGCATAGAAAAAGTTCAAAAATATTTTACCAGAATTGTCTGCATATTACATACACTGATTACTTATCAAGACTTATTGTTTTCCAACTAGAATCTCTTGAGTATCACTGAGTTAAATTTGATCTTTATATGACTTATAAATTTGTACATAATCTCGTTGATTTACCATTTTCAGATTTTTTTACTTTTTCCAATTCGAAATATTTTACTAGAAGTCATTCATAAAAGTTTACACCACATAACAAATACATTAATGATACTAGAAGATTTTTTTACTGCGAAAGAATCATTTAAGTATGGAACTCACTTCCTGACCACATAATGAACTTGCCCTCGCAGTCAACATTGAAATCGAATTTAAAAAAGTATGATTTAAATTGTCACACAGTTTACTAACTTGGTTTTTTTTACATAAACTCATATTAAATATTTTTTTTTTTTCATTTTTTTTTTTTGGTGCTACATGAGAGTAATTTAGTAATTACTTGTCTACCATTTTGTATTTTGTACATTTTTCAAATACAAATAAATAAATAATAATAATAAAATTTACTTTAATATGTTTTCTTACAATTTTCTTATGTTCTAATTAATAATAGACAATGTGGAAATTTTGTAAGTAATGTTTTGTATCATATTACAAATACATCAGAGAATCGTCAGCAACAATTATTTTTCTTATATTTGTTTAAGCATCATAAAGTTTTTAATTGTTTGCTATAGTTCTATTGATTTTAGTTTAAAAAAAATTATGTTTAATTTTTATGTTTAATTTTTATTTATAATTAAAAAACTTTATCTTTAGGAATAGCAGATGCAGAACCTGGGAATAGTGAAAGTTCAATAGAACCACAAGCAGTAAACGAGATTCTTAATGATGTAGGAAGCATGAACACATTTGTTACTGGAGTTGATGTGCCTATAACAACACTTGAAGGGTTAGGAGGTTACACACCAGTAGGTTTTGTTCATAATATTTTTGATTTTATTCATCTGTCAGTGGGTTTGCCTTGGTGGGGAACAATAATAGCAACAACAGTTGCCTTCAGAGCTTTGGTGTTTCCTTTAATGATCAAAGGACAAGCTAACACAGCAAGATTAGCAGCTGTTAAACCAGAGTTAGAAAAACTACAGGAAAAACTAAGAGAAGCTGCAAATTATCATAATCCGAATATAAGGGCACAAGCCTCAATAGAATTGCAAGACTTTTTCAAAAAGCATAATTGTAATCCATTAAAAGTATGTAAATGTTTAAACTCTTCTAAATGTTTTGTTAAATCTTTTTTTTTTAAAATGACTCTTTTCACACTTTGTAAGTATTTTATTGAGATTTGGATTCTAAATGTTTTTTTATTTATTTATATATATATATATGTTTTGCCTAAAATAAATGTTATCCATATGGCTTATATTATTACTTTTAGAGCATCATATCCCCATTGGTTCAACTTCCATTGTTTATATCTTTTTTTATTGCAATTCGAAAAATGTGTAATTTACCTGTAGAATCATTACAAACTGGTGGAATACTATGGTTTTCTGATCTCAGTGCTGCAGATCCATACATGATATTCCCTATTGCTTGTGCTTTTACCATGCTGCTGACAATTGAGGTAAATTGATAGTAATGTGTTGTTTTTATTTAATGTGAAAGTTCCAATTGCTTGTGCTTTTACCATGCTGCTGACAATTGAGGTAAATTGATAGTAATGTGTTGTTTTTATTTAATGTGAAAGTTCCAATTGCTTGTGCTTTTACCATGCTGCTGACAATTGAGGTAAATTGATAGTAATGTGTTGTTTTTATTTAATGTGAAAGTTCCAATTGCTTGTGCTTTTACCATGCTGCTGACAATTGAGGTAAATTGATAGTAATGTGTTGTTTTTATTTAATGTGAAAGTTCCAATTGCTTGTGCTTTTACCATGCTGCTGACAATTGAGGTAAATTGATAGTAATGTGTTGTTTTTATTTAATGTGAAAGTTCCAAAGGTACATTTTGAAAAACATACCATTTTATAAGCTTTATATTCTGATTGTATTCAACACTTTTCAAGCGTGTGCTTTAAATAAGTGTAACTATATTGCATCAACAAGTACAACTGTATTGTGTAGAAACATCATCATATTGCATGAAAATTTATAAATGTAATATTTAAAAACCATAATATTTTATTAAAAAGAGAAGAAAAAAAAAACATTACCATTAAATTTTTTTTTTTTTTTTTTTTAAATCTTCACTTCCAACAAGGCTGCAAGCAACCACTATAAGAGTTGGAAGTTACTGGAAGAGAAAAGACTAAATCTGTAGAGCAAGATAACGATTGACTGATGACTTAAAAGATTGCAAATTATATGAATCAGGAAAGCAAGATGAAGGAAGCGAATTCCAAAAAACTGATGTTCGAGGAAAAAAACTAGAAGGATAAGAGTTTTTGAAGCACTTTTGAACAGTCACAGAAAAAGGATGAGACTTAATTGAATGGCGAGTAACACGAGAATGAATTTTAGTAGATGGCACAAGGGACGCTAGCTCCTTAGAGCAGTGCCCATTATAGTATTTGTATTTGTGATAAAGGTTGGAGATTGGCTGCCAGAGCAGGTCCAACTATGTTTACAATTCGTTTTTGCACCTTGTCTAAAAGAGAAAGAGCATCATTAGAAGATCCGACCCAGATGTGGCAACAGTATTCCATACAGGGACGGATTTGAGATTTATAGAGATAGAGAATAGAATCTGGAGTAAGAAAGTGTCGAGCTCGATAAAGAGATGCAACCTTAGCAGATGCTAATTTTGCAATGGATTTGATATACGGTTTAAAAGAAAGATCAGAAGTAAGAGTTAGTCCTAGAAGATGAATGGTAGATGACTCATCTAGTACATTACCATTCATAAATATAGGAAGATCTAAATTATTACGATAACGATTGGCCGAATAAAATTGAGTTTTATCTGAATTAAAGTTCACCAGCCACTGTGAGCCCCATGCTGTAGCAGAAGTGAGATCCTTTTCAAGCTCAGATATCCCCTCCAAGCAATCAGAGAGTGTAGGCTTCTTATCATGACAAGAGTAAATGGTAGTGTCGTCAGCGAATAATGCCACCTTAGATGTGAGAATATCTGGAAGATCGTTAATGTAAATTAAAAAGAGTATAGGGCCAAGGATTGAACCTTGAGGAACCCCTGAAGTTACAGGATGTGAAGAAGAGTGTTGTCCATCGAGGACAACTTTTATACTACGATTGGAAAGAAAGGACTCAATAATCTTAAAGACGTTACCAGCTACACCATAAGAAGAAAGCTTATGGAGAAGACCAGCATGCCAAACTTTATCAAAAGCTTTAGAAATGTCAAGTGCGATAGCCTTAACCTCTCCACCTCTATCTAATGCACGGTAAGACCTATCGGTTATTACTGTTAGCACATCAGCTGTAGAACGAGAAGACCGAAATCCATATTGATGATCAGAAAGTAAGTTATTTGATTCAAGATGAGAGATTAAGTGTTTGTTGATTAAAGGTTCAAAAACCTTGCTTATGACAGGAAGAAGACTAATGGGACGGTAGTTAGATGAATCAGATCGCTCTCCGGAATTTTTGAAAATAGGGATAACAGATGCTGCTTTCCAGCATGATGGAAAACAAGACTCTGATAAGCACTTGTTAAATAGTTTAGAAAGTATGGATTAAAGCTCCGGAGAACACCTCTGCAAGACTACAACAGGAATGTTGTCAGGACCACAAGCTGTTGAAGAGTCTAAGCAGGAAATTACTTTAGATACAGAAGCTGAAGTGATGCGAATGTCAAGCAAGGGATCAACCTGTTTGACGGCTGTGTCAGGTAAAACGCAACTAGTGGAATCAAGAGATGATATTGATGAAAAGTTCTTAGCAAACAATTCAGTTTTGTCTTTAGGTGAGGTGACAAAGTCTGAACCATACAATAGAGAAGGAATAACAGATTTGCCCTTATTATTGATACTGTTAAAGATTCTCCAAAAGCCTTGAGAGCCTAATTTTTGTGATGAGATACGAGATTTAATGACCTGGGAATAGCGAGCTTTGGCGTCAGACAAAACCTTTTTACAATGGTTTCTGGCGATAGTGAACAGATGTCTGTTTTCTGGAGAATTGTTTTGCTGATAGATATGGAAGTAACGGTTTCGATTAGAAATTGCTGCAGCGCAATGTGAGGAAAACCAAGGAGAAGAGTGAGGCTTGACCTGGAATCGTCGAGAGGGAATAAAAGATTCCATGCCAGCCTGAATCCACGAAGTTATGTAAGAAGCACATTTGTCAGCAGGAAGACGAAAGATTTCTACCCAAGAGCCATCACGAAGAAAATCACGGAAAGAGTCCCAGTCAGCTTTAAGGTAGTTGTATGTGGTACAATGATAGGGAGATTCTGATGAAGTAGAAGAATTTGATAATAGTTTTAGAGAGATCAAACCGTGATCAGAAGTACCTAAGGGTGAATGTGGAGAAATTGAGCACTGACTAGGATCCAAAACAAGACATAAGTTGAGTAGAGAAGGTAAATGATTAGGGTTGTCTGGAAAACGAGTTGGAAAGTTGACTATTTGAGTTAGAGATTGAGAAAGGCAAAAGTTGAGGGCCTTAACGCCAGCAGAGTCACTGACACTAGAGCCAAGCCAATCGGTGTGATGGGCATTAAAGTCACCAACAACAACGATATTGGCCGATGGATAAAGAGAGAGGGCTTGGTCAATTTGATCAGAAATAACATCAAGAAGAGTGCAGTCTTGGGATGAGGGAGAGCGATATAGAACAAAGAGAAAGGCGATAGAGTGAAGTTGTGCTAAACGAAAGGACATAAATGAATAGTCTGTAGATTCAAACCTAGTTTCACGACAAATGGGTGAGTTCTTACGAATGTAGATGCCCATGTGATTATTGGAGTCTTTATGAATTAAAGGAAGATAACCATCAACACTAAGATCACAAGATGGGACAGCCGAACTCAAATTGGTCTCACAAAGAGCAAGTAGGTCTGGTGAACTTTGCAAGAGATAAGACTCAACAGAAGAAAAGTTACTTTGAAGACCACGAATATTAGTAAATGATAGGTTTAGAGAACTTGGTGGTGATGATGTTTTTTTGTGTTTTTTAGTTTTAGGTACTTTAGTCATTTTAAATTTATAAAGAACTTGACTCAAGTATAGATAGTACTCAGTACACTATTTAACAACTAAGCAATAGCCTCATTACTATTAATAAACCCTAAGCCGTAACAAAGGGCTCCAAATGTGGCCTCTGCATGCACACCAAAAGTACAAACAGGGACACCATCCATGCGCAACATGGCACTGTTAGTACTCTGATATTTTTCGGCTGTTGATGGAATCAGCCTCTCTGAGAGCTACCACAGAGTTCGGGAAACCTGACTACCAGCCGGCCTCAGAACCATAAAACTGAGTTTTAGAGCTGTACCCTCATTAGGAGATAATAGAATGAGTTGCCCAGTCATAAAAATAGAGACACAAGCAATACCCACGCATTGAGTCAAGAAGATCCAGCGTTCAACATCCTAATTTGGAAACAATATATTAAAAATACATCTGCGCCAGCCTAATAGATGAGATAAATATAGTTTTATTATTGATAGAGATGTAATATGCAAATGTAAAGGAAATGTAGATATTCAAATGTAAAAAATTCAAATGAACACAATGTGCAATATGTACATCTGTATATGCAAGCGTCAGTATTACTGACAGTAGGTAAGTTAAGTTTGCAGATTGTTTATTTAAGGATCTTGTAATATAAAAAAAAAATTTTAAGTTTTTTAACAATTAAGAGTATTTTTGCTTATACTATTTCGATTTGAATTTTTATATTTATGTTATTGTGTTTAAAAAAAAAATTATTAAAATTAAAAACTAAACAAATATTTTACTATTTAACAGACGGATTTGAGCCCTTGATATACGTTACCTTAGCACTCAGAGAACATTGCATTTAATTACCAAGCTACTAATGCTTTTGCTTATATATTAAAATAAATTAGTTTATAAAAATTTATAACAAAAGTTATTAATTTGCCAAAACTCTTATTTAATATGCCAAAATTGGTATCAAAACAGCTTCATTAAAGGTTTTTTCGTAAATAGTTTTTTGCTTAAAAATTGCTAAAAAAAAAATTCTAATAGATATTTTACATACCTACACCCTTAAACACGTTCTTACTTTCTTAGTTAACACTTATACGCATTCTTACTTTCTTGGTTAACCATCCCTCTAACCATACCTGTGTACGTACTTTATCAAAGACCTTTTGTTTTTTGTTATTTTTTTTATGATTCCTAAAAGGCACATAGGTATTCATATATAATTAATAAATATAAAGAAGTTAAAAAGAAAACAAATGATGGATGAAATAGATTTAAAGTTTGCTATGGATTTTGTTGCAGAGTTTCTGTTATACAAAATTATCTGTTGTGTCTTTATCAGGGCTGTGGAGTTAGAGTCTGAGTTGTGGAGTTGCGGCATTTTTAGCAGAGTGTGATTCAGAGTCGCCAAACAAAATCGCAACTCCGACTCCAATTCTAGAACTTCTCAGTATTGCACATGCATGTACAAAACACTCAATTAACCTTATGTTCATACTAAACCTCAAAGAACGTTTCATAAAAAAAAATTTTAACTTATCGTGAAATATTTTTTAAAGAATGTAAAAATTTTGATTTAAAGTTCAAGTTGGAGTTAGAGTCATAGTTGTACTCAAAAAACTTCAACAACTGGAGTCGGAGTCGTTACTTTTTTTTTATGACTCCACACCCCTGGACTTTATTAGTCGTAAAATAGTGGTAAAATACATTTGTGTTGGTTTTAGCTAATAAGTTTGATTTCAGTTCATACTGCAGGAATTATCTTTTTCCAAACATTTCTGGAATTCCAGATACTTTTATAAATTTTATTTTTCCAGATATCCAAATAGTTTTCTGGAAATACAATTGAAAGATTTTTTTTTGTCATAAAATAATTAAATCATTAAATGTATCGTTCATCAATTACTCTATGCTATATTTAGTATATTAAGGCATTATTTGTACAAATATTTTTTTTAAATTTGTACGTGTATATTTATTACTAAAGGCTTTTTCATGGTGGCAAGACAAATTATGTTTGTTTTAAAAATAAACATCAGAAAATAAGTTTTTTTTATTAAAATAACCAAAACAATTTATTTAATAAGATATTAACAAATAAAGCATTTGTTTTTTTTATTATTATTATTATCAATTCACCTCCTCAAGTAGGGATAGTAAAAATCCCGGAATTTTGGGATTAAGAAATTTGTTCCTGGGAAATGCCAAGATTAAATTAAAAAAAATGCTAAAAACGCTATGATTACTTTTTAAGTGCTAATCAAACACTTAACTAAAAACGCTATGAATACTTTTTAAGTACTAATCAAACACTTAACTAAAAACGCTATGAATACTTTTTAAGTGCTAATCAAACACATAACTAAAAAACGCTATGAATACTTTTTAAGTGCTAATCAAACACTTAACTAAAAACGCTATGAATACTTTTTAAGTGCTAATCAAACACTTAACTAAAAACGCTATGAATACTTTTTAAGTACTAATCAAACACTTAAAAATGATTAGTTTAGTGATAATATAACTAAAATATTTAATACATTAACGAACCTAAAATTAAGTTGAAAACATGTTTTAACTTAATTTTATTATATTAAAACTTATCTAAAGCTTTTAAAATTTAATGAATCTAAGTACATTAAATTATAAAACAATACCTTAAAATCGTAACACAGTATAAGTAAAAATAATAATTAGAAAAATATATAAATATGCATGACTTCATTAATTAAACGAACACTAAGAAAATTTTGCATGTTAACAAACCTGTTTTTTGTTAACTTTATTAATTAAACTGACTTAAAAAAACATTTGTAAATCGTGTACATATTTGAAAATAAAATTAATGGAAATTAAAAAAATAATAACTTTAATAGAAGTCATTTTTTCAATCAATTTCTTCAAAATTATTTATTTGAAAAATTATTGAAGGAGGGGGAGGGGGGAAGGGCAACAGGACTGAGGTATACCTTCTATTAAAGTTTTTTTCTATTAAAGTTAGTTTAATAGAAAAAAACTTTAAGGTATACTTTCTAAAAATACTTGCTAATTCCACCAGCTAGCGCTAAAATTATATATATATATATATATATATATATATATATATATATATATATATATATATATATATATATATATATATATATATAAAATTGTAGCAATAATGTTTTAAGTTTTTATTTTTAATAAAATACAGAAAAAGAGAGTTTTAAAAGAAAAACACTTCAAAGAGAATAAACAGTTACACAACCAAACAAACTACTATACCAAAGACGATTTACAAATTACTTAATTACAATTATAAGCTTAAACTATATTAACTTTTACTTTGTTTTATAAAGTATTTATTAAGTGCCTTGTTTTTTTTATTTATTCATTTTAATCTATGGGAAAATCTTTGTTTCCTTTTTTCTCTTTTTTATGCTTTGTTATTATAAAATGCTTGAAAAAAGTTTTTTTTTTACAGTTTGGAGCTGAAGCAAGTGTTAGCAACTCTCAAATGGTTGTTATGAAAAATGTATTTCGAGGAATGTCTGTATTGATGGTACCACTCACTTATAATTTTCCTGTGGTAAGTTAATTTTTTAATCAAAATAATTTTATTTACAGTAGAAGCATTACCATAAAATAAAAAATAAAGACTAATTTTTGTTTAAAGATAGACTAAGTTTTGTGCTTGTGTGACTAAATTATAACTTGGTAAAGCACTTGATCTTCTGTATGAAAGGGAATATCCAAAATTGTATAACAGACTTACTTTCCTTCATTCAAAAGTCTGTCACAGATGTAAACTTTTCTTACATGGTTTCTTATCTAAAAGGTGAATGCTAGATATTCTTAATTCTAGTTATAGATCTTTGCCATGTTGCACATGGATACTGGACTTGCTAGTACTTCTATTGTGAATTATCAAAGCTACATTAGGATCCCTTTGTTATGACTTTAGGTTGTTTAAACACACACACACACACACACACACACACACACACACACACACACACACACACACACACACACACACACACATATATATATATATATGTTTAAACAACCTAAAGTCATAACAAATGGATCCTAATGTAGCTTTTATATATATATATATATATATATAATATATATATATATATATATATATATATATATATATATATATATATATATATATATACAGTAGCTTTCATAAATTTAGACGCATTCATTTTTTTTTTTCATATATGTAAGAAAATACTCAAAATAAAAATAAAATAAAAGTGCTACCGCTATGTTTGATATATAATTTAAAAGAGGAAATGAAACTCTATTATAGAGTACCTTAATTTTTTTTACAGGATGTTTATTACTCATTTTATACCAATTAACACAAAAAAGTTATTTGATAAACTTGATTTTATTTTGTTCATAAATTTAGACGCACAATTAAAAAAGTCTTATATCTTGTTAATTGATAGTTAATTAGTAGTTTTTTTTCTTATATTTCTCATTAATAGGCCTAAATTAATTGATTTTGTCAAAAAACCTTATATAAATATGACTTACCTGGAATTATTTAATCATTATTTAATAAATAAACAAAAGTTAAGTTAGTTTTGCACTAAAAAAACGTAAAAAATGGGCAAAAGACGTATCACTCAAAGTGAAAGATGGCAAATTATTGTGCACATCAAAGAAGGAACCAAAAGTAATAGAGAAATCGCCAAGTTAATTGAAGTTTCTGAGAAATGCGTTCAGACAACGAAACAAAACTTTCTTCACACTGGTGGTGCCAGCGAGAAAACGAGGCCAGGTAGACCCTTGTCAACCACGAGAAAGGACGATAATGTTCTTTTTAGAGCTGTCAGAGCTAATCCAAGAATTAGTTACAAAGAATTGACCACAGAATTTAATACAACGCGAAATACATCAATTTCTCAAAGCACAGTCCGCCGAATACTTATCAAATACAAGATTGGAGTCTACACTGCTTTGAAGAAACCGCTTCTGCGTCCATATGATAAACAAAGGAGACTAAAATGGTGTCGTGAAAGAAGGTATTGGACAATAGATCAATGGGAAAACATTATGTGGAGTGATGAGAGTAACTTTGAGCTTATCAATCGCAAATCTAACACAACAGTCAAAAGAATGGCTCACGAAAAGTATTATGCCAGGTACATTAGACCAACTGTACAAAGTGGAGGAGGCTCGATAGGAATCTGGTCATGCTTCAATTACAAAGGTGTTGGTATGTGCCAAACATACACCGGAAGAATCAACTCCAGAATATACGTAGAAGTACTGGAAAACAACCTAATTCCATCAATTGACCTGCTTATGCTCAATGATAAACCATGGAAACTTCAACAAGATAGCGCTACTGCTCATACTGCATACTTTACAAAGGAGTGGTTCAACGATAATAATATTATGACAATACCGTGACCTCCATATTCACCTGATTTGAACCCGATTGAAAACATTTGGGCTTGGATTGATCGTGAATTAGCAAAGGTTCAAGTTTCCACACTTGGTCAGCTGAAGGAATTCCTTAAGGAGACCTGGTATGGGGTCCCAGAAGCGATGTGCAAAAATCTTGTTGAGTCTATGCCTAGAAGAGTTCTTAGTTGTATTAAAGCAAAAGGCGGATACACAAAATATATATTGGTTCATAAATTACGCCTTCTAATGTATCGTGCGTCTAAATTTATGAATAATTTTTTTTGTCTAATTTTTTTAATACCATGTAGTTGTACCTAATTATTACTTAGTATTTCATTTTTTTTGTAAACTTTTTTTAAATTTTGTATTCTGTATGTATTTATCTGATAAATAGAAAAAAAACTAAACCAAAATCTTTTTTCGTCATTGTTTTATCGTTAAAATACCTAAAATTTTCTATTCTCAAATATGAGTGCGTCTAAATTTATGAAAACCACTGTATATGTATATATATATATATATATATATATATATATATATATATATATATATATATATATATACACACATACATACATACATAAATACATACATAACTATATATAGTAAGCAACTGGGGCTAATATTTGACTGGGCCTGGGTTTGTAACCGAATCTGCATAAACATTAATGCATTCTAAATTGTATTATTTTGTTCAAAATTTGTGTTATATTTTGTATATATATGCATACATAAACTATATGTATATATATGAATATATAAACATGATCAACATGTTCATCATAATCACTATCATGATTTTCATCATCATTGCTTAATGCTCAAATGAGCTATCATCTCCATTACAATAAACCAAAACTCGTTCTTGCTTGGCTTTTTATTCAACAAGTTGCATCTTTTTACTGGATTTGTCTCTTCATGCTATAAAAACTTTTAATATTCCATTTTTTTCTTTGTACATCAAAAAAACCGTACAACTCTCACTCATTTTCATGTTTTCCTTTTTTATACAACCTACAACTTTTTATTTCTTCAACCGTTTTCTAGCTTTGTAACCTATCCTCTATTTTGAAGTAACTCATAACATAATAGTGGTTGCTTGCAACCTTGTTGGAAATAAATTAGAGTTTGAAAATATATAAATATACGCCAGTATTTAATAAATAGTTAATGTAAGTAAAAAAATTATAACATTAAGTGTTATAAATTTTTTTCTAGCTCTGGCATTCAATCCAAGCTAAATCTTACAATATTGCCAGGGCCAAGTTTGCAGTCTCAATTTTTAGCCAAGGCTGGGGGCCTCTTCGCTTCCAACAAAGCTGCAAGCAATCACTATTAGAGTTGTAAGTTACTGGAATAGAAAAAATAAAGTTTATAGAGCAAGATAACGATTGACAGTCAACATAACAGATTGCAAATTATATGAATCAGGAAAGCAAGATAAAGAAAGCAAATTCCAAAGAACTAATCTTCGAGGAAAAAAACTACATGAATAAGAGTTTTTGGAGAACTTAGGAACAGTCACAGTAATGTCAGGTCAGGTTTACCCTGCTACTGGTAACATGTAACCCAGTACAATCTGCTTCATGTCCTGCTTCCATGTAGGATACGACTTTTTAGGCAAAGGCTTTTCTTCATTTATTAAGCTGGCGCAGATGTATTTTTAATATATTGTTTCCAGTTTAGGATGTTGAATGCTGGATCTTCTTGACTCGATGCATGGGTTATGCATGTTGCATTTTGACTTGATGCATGGGTTATGCATGGGTTAAGCTCTGTTTTTATGGCAACTCATTCTTTTATCTCCTAATGATAGTACAGTTCTAAAACTCAGTTTAATGGTTTAGAGGCCGGCTGGTAGTCAGGTTTCCCAAACTTTGTGGTAGCTCTCAGAGAGACTGATTCCATCAGCAGCTTTAAAATATCAAAGTACTAACAATGTCATGTTGAGCATGGGTGGTGTCCCTGTTTGTACCTCTAGTGTGCATTGCCAAGGCCACATCGGAGCCCTTTGTTACGACTTAAGGTTTATTAATAGTAATGAGGCAATTGCTTGAGTTATTAAACAGTGTACTGAGTACAATCTATGTTTCAAGTCAAGTTCTTTAACAAATTTAAAAATGAATAGAGTAACAAAAACTATAAAACACAAAAATCAATTTTTATCACCAAGTTCTCTAAACCTATTATTCACTAATATTTGTGGTCTTTGAAGAAATTTTTCTTCTGTTGAGTCTTATCTTTTGCAAAATTCACCAGACATACATGCTCTTTGTGAGACTAATTTGAGTTCAGCTGTCTCATCTTGCAATTTTAGTGTAATGTAATTTTAATTTGTAAAGACTCCAATAGTCATATGCTTGGCCTGGGCATTTACATTCGTAAAAATTCACCCATTTGTCAGGAAACTAGGTTTGAATCCACAGACTACTCTTTTATGTGCTTTCGTTTAGCACTTCTTCACTCTATCGCCTTTTTCTTTGTTCTATATCGCTCTCCTTCATCTTAAGACTGTACTCTTCTTGATGTTATTTCTGATCACATTGACCAAGCCCTCTCTCTTTATCCATCAGCCAATATTGTTGTTGTCAGTGACTTTAATGTTTATTACACTGAATGGCTTTGCTCTAGTGTCAGTGACTATATATATATGAACATTTGCCTTTTTCAATCACTAACTCAAATAGTCAACTTTCCTACTCGCTTTGCAGACAACCTGAATCATTCACCTTCTCTACTCAACTTGTGTCTTGTTTCTGATCCTAGTCAGTGCTCAGTTTCTCCACATTCACCCTTAGGTGCATTCGATCATGGTTTGGTCTCTAAAACTATCATCTCATTCTTCTTTACCATTAGAATGCCCCTATCATCATACATCTCACAACTACCTTAAAGCTGACTGGGATTCTTTCCGTAATTTTCTTCGTGATGGCCCTTGGTTAGAAATCTTTTGTCTTTTTGTTGTCAAATGTGCTTCTTACATAATTTTGTGGATTCAGGCTGGCATGGAATCCTTTATTCTCTCTTGGTGAAGCCTCACACTTCTCCATGTTTTTCCTCACATTGTGCTGCTAGATTTGATAATCGAAACCATTATTTTCATATCTATCAGCAAAACAATTCTCCAGAAAACAGACGTCTGTTTATTACTGCTAGGAACCATTGTTCCTAGCAGTAATAAACAGCATTGTTCCTAGCAGTAATAAGCAAAAAGGTTTTGTCTAGCGCCAAAACCCGCTATTCTCAGAATATGAAATCTCATTTTATCTCAAAAATTAAGCTCTCATGACTTTTGTATGGTTCAGACTTTGTCACCTCACCAAAAACAAAGCTGAATTGTTTGCTAAGAACTTTTCATCAATATCATTTCTTGATTCCACTAGTTGCGTTCTACCTGATATAGCTGTCAAACAGGTTTATCCATTGCTCGACATCCGTATCACTCCAGCTCCTGTATCTAAAGTGGTTTCCTGCTTAGACTCTTCTATGGCTTGCAACCCGGACAACATACCTGTTATAATCTTGCAGAAGTGTTCTCCGTAGCTGTCGTCTATCCTTTCAAAACTATTCAACTTGTGCATATCAGAGTCTTGTTTTCTAGCCTGCTGGAAAGCAGCATCTATTATCCCTATTTTTAAAAATTCTGGAGAGCGATCTGATTCGTCTAACTACCCTCCCATTAGTCTTCTTCCTATCATAAGCAAGGTTTTTGAATCTTTAATTAACAAACACTTAATCTCTCATCATGAATCTAATAACTTACTTTCTGATCATCAATATGGATTTCGATTTTCTCATTCTATGGCTGATTTGCTAACAGTAATAACCGATAGGTTTTATCGTGCATTAGATAAAGGTGGAGGGGTTAAGGCCATCGCTCTTGACATTTCTAAAGCGTTTAATAAAGTTTGGCATGCTGGTCTTCTCCATAAGCTTTCTTCTTACGGTGTATCTGGAAACATCTTTAAGATTATTATCCTTCCTTTCCAATCGTAGTATAAAAGTTTTCCTTGATGGACAGCACTCTTCTTCTTATTCTGTTACCTCAGGAGTTCCTGAAGGTTCAATCCTTGGCCCTATATTTTTTTTAATATACATTAACGATCTTCCAGATATTCTCACATCTAAGGTGGCATTGTTCGCTGATGATACTAGCATTTATTCTTGTCTCAATAAGAAGCCAACTCCCTCTGATTGCTTGGAGGGGACATTTGAGCTTAAAAAGGATCTCACTGCTACAGCATGGGGCTCACAGTGGCTGGTGAACTTTAATTCTCATAAAACTAAAAATTTTCAGCCAATTGTTATCGCAATAATTTAGGCCTTGATTTATTTGTGAGCAGAAATGTACTCGATGAGTCATCTAGGATTAACTCTTACTTCTGATCTTTCTAGGAAACCTTATATCAAATCCGTTGTAAAATTAGCATCTGCCCAATAAAATTAGCAGTGCCCATTATAGTATTTGTAGAAAAGAGAAAGAGAAGCAACATTACGACGATGTGATAATGGTTGGAGGTTGGCTGCAAGAGCAGGTCCAACTATGCTTACATAGTTGCATTTTTGCATTGTATGGCAACAGTATTCCATACGAGGACAAATATGAGATATATAGAGATAAAGAATAGTATCTGGAGTTAGAAAATGTCAAGCATGATAAAGAGATGCAACCTTAGTAGATGCAAATTTTGCAATGAATTTGATATATGTTTTTCAAGAAAGATTGGAAGTAAGAGTTAATCCTAGAAGATGAAGGGTAGATGATTAATCGAGTACATTACCGTTCTTTAATATAAGAAGATCTAAATTATTGCGATAACAATTGACGGAAAAAAATCTATTTTTTCTGAATTAAAGTTTACCAGCCACTGTGAGCCCCATGCTATAGCAGAAGTGAGATCCTTTTCAAGCTCAAATGCCCCTCGAAGCAATTAGAGAGTGTTGGCTTCTTATCAAGACAAAAATAAATTGTAGTATCATCAGCGAGCAATGCTACCTTAGATGTAAGAAAATCTGGAAGATTGTTAATGTAAATAAAAAGAGTATAGGACCTAGGATAGAATCTTGAGGAACTCTTGTTACAGGATATCAAGAAGAGTGCTGTCAAGCAAAGACAAATTTTATACTATGATAGGTAAGGAAGGAGACAGTAATCTTAAAGATGTTACCTTCTACACCATAAGAAGAAAGCTTATGGAGAAGACCAGCATGCCAAACTTTATCAAAAGCTTTAGAAATGTCAAGAGAGATAGCCTTAACCTCTCCACCTCTATCTAATGCATATTGAAATCTTTCAGTTATTACAGTTAGCAAAGCAGCTGTAGAACATATTGTGTTGACATTCTGACGTTTGGTAAAAAGCCAAAAGAATTTCTTTAGAATTTATGGAAAAATTAGAATGATTTGGCAGTTGTAGATAAAGGCATATACTTTAAAAATAAAAGTAGAAAACAGTATCCTTCGTTTAAAACTGAAATGTTTTTTGGTTATGTCCAGGGATTAACTTTTTCCGGTTATTTCCAGAAATCCGGATGTTTTTCTTAACTTTAGGTTTTTTAAGCTTTTTCACTCATCACTGTTACAAAAATAATAAAAAGTTTGAAAAAACTCAGGTAAAAGCAAATCTTAGAGGAAAACATATTCCAGATTTCATGCGGATATTTTACCTTAACAGTTTTCCGGATTTTCAAAATATGACCTGGATGATCTATGTATATCACAATAAATTATTTTTTTGTAAAGTTCTCTAAAATAATTTTCTAATGCTTATTTTTGAAAAAGACACAACTTGTCTCGGTACTTAGAAAACCCTGACTCTAGCCATTACCCTGTTTTTTATTATTTTCAATATTGTTAAAGAATTTCATTAAAACTATTAACTTATTTATAAAAAATATTTTTTCAGGTTTTTTTTTTTTTTTTTTTTTTTTTTTTTTTTTTTTTTTTTTTTTTTTTGTATTGTCCTAACCTTTCCTTTTATCATAATTTTATCTTCAGCTTGATGTATTAAGCAGAGCCGGGAAACTGAAACTAGAATACTTGAAATGTTAAAGAATAATGAATTATCTGCTAGTTTGATAATTCATTATTCTTTTATCTTTTATCCAGATGGCATCTTATATGTAAAAACCATTTAGACATCTTATATGAATGATTTTATGGAGGACATCTTATATGAAACCATACCATAGGCAACGAACTAATTTTTAATTATGTTTGTTTTAGTAACTGAAAATAAATTTATTAAATAGATTAAACACATAATCTTAAATCATTACTATTATCAGTATTTATTAATAAACAATATGTTAAAAGAGCAAATTTAATGTTATTTTTATAAAAGAATTTTTCTAGTTTATGTAGACATTTAATGAAAAAATAGTTGAAAAGACCATTTAAACAATTGTAAGTTGTAAAATGCTTTCTAACAGTATCAATAGTAAAGATTTCATTTTTCAAAATGCAATCTTTACCCTTACTATGATTCAAAATATTTCAATTTTTTATTCAGTTCATTGTACAAAAAAAAAAATTGAATGATGTAAGTTTATATTTTTAACAATATTTTTTAATAATATAGTGCATTAATGTATTATTTTTTTTACAATATGCTACCTTTATTTGTTAATTAGGCAAGTTGAACTTGCTATTTTTGAAAAAAATGTTCTATTAAAAAAATTTTTTTTTAATGAACTTAACTGATCATTTTTAATTGAGACTCTGCATAATTTTATCATTTTGCATTCTCATTGCATGCTAATAAACAGCGATCGCTTTTGTTTCATTATGAGTCTTGTACTAAATACTTCAGTAAATTACAAAAAGAAAATTTGATTTAAAATTAAAATTTTGCCCTCTCTTTTTCAGGCAATTTTTCTTTATTGGATGACGTCAAATGTTTTATCATTGGTGCAAGTTATGGTTTTAAAAGTGCCAGGTGTTATGACATTTTTCAATATTCCTAAAGTAGTACCTGTAAAGATGGACCCTAACATACAAACTGGAACTTTTATGGAAAATTTAAAAGCAGGTAAGATATTTTTCATAAATTAACTAAATATTTCTATCATTTTAAGATTTAATCATTTTCAATTCAATTTTTTTTCAAACTATAATAACAAAAAATATTGAGATATAATAGTTCATAGATAATTGTCAAGGTCATTATTATAATTCATAGATAATTGTCAAGGTCATTTATAATTTGCAGTTTCCTAAATAAATAAATGGGCTAAAGGCTAATTTTAAAAATATGAAAATCAATTCTGTTATTAAACTTAATGTAAAATTTATCTAAGTTTTAGTAATAAATTGCTAAATGCATTATTCCACTGAATTTTTTTTTATCGCTGCAATGTGTTTAAAAAAAATTCGATCAATCTGCAAGCAGAGATGAATGGTTACAATAAGTTAGCAAAAATGTTCAAAATAATAAAATAAACGAGTATTTATTTGTATATTTTTTAAATTTTTATTTCCAATCAGAAATGATTTTAAATATACAGCATTGGTTGATTTTAAATATACAGCATTGGTAATGATTTTAAATATTTAATGATTGATCATGATTTTAAATATACAGCATTGGTAAATATACAGCAATGGTCTTTTAATTTGACACTTTTTAAGATCAGATTAAGACAAAAAAATTGTTTTATTGCAGTGTGGTTTTTTACCTAATTTTAATTGATTTAAAAAATAACTGCTACTATATGAAAATTACAGAAGACATTTTCAAAAAATATAATTTTCGCTCCACCCTAATATATTTATTTATATTGATAGATGTGTATGTTTTATTCCATTCTATACTATATTTATTGTTCTGCAAGGTTTTAAAAATGCTAAAGAAGCTGCTACTATCAAAGAAGCAGAAAAACGTCGAGCAAGAGAAGCACAAGCAGCTTTGAATAGAACCAGAGAAGTTTACGAATTTAACCCATTGTTAAAAAATAATTCAAAGTTGTTTGAGGAAGCTAAAAACCATCGTCGTACAAAATAAACTGTGAAATATTGTATTATATAAATATGTGAAATACTCTTTAAGCTGTACCAAATCTCATTGCTGAAAACACTTTTAATGATATTGCGTCGTAATTTCATTAACTTCATCAATCTTACTTTATAACTAATCTTCTGTTTAAAATAATAAAACTTTTTCATTTTTATTTCCGTCATTCAAATAAAAATCTTTTGCATTAGCGAAAAGATATTAAAAGTCATATCACGACTATACTATGCTTTTGTTAAAATTTTTGTCTCCTAAAATAGATTAGATAAGGGTTGGTGTTAAGAATCTTTTATTCCTTGTTTTTTACTTTTGCACTTTGTTTTTGCCAGTTTTGCAATAATTTTGAAGGCGCACGCACACTATTAAAATTTTCTAAATCAAAAAACTTTTTAACCAAAAATATAACCTGTTACTTTTTTAATGCTCTATAATAATTTCATTCATAGAAATTTATAACTTAATTTTTCCGTGACTATCTACATAAACTCACCAAATTACTTACAAAATTATTGTATCACGTTGGTACAATAGGTTATAGATAAAAAATATTTTTATATTCACTTAATAATTTTATTTATATATATATATATATATATATATATATATATATATATATATATATATATATATATATATATATATATATATGAATGCATCTTTTTTATCTTTAAGTATTATTCTTTAATAAAAGTTTGAAGAGTTTTATGTCATCCTAACATCATGACCACGCTGTAATCAAATTTACTCTGAGTTAAAAAATTTTGCATTTTGTTGTAAATTTTGAATATTATTTTAATACATTTTAGTTTATATACAGTATTCTGTAACTGTATGTAGTTACTGAAATAGTTGATTTAAATCAAATAAATATTAGTTAGGTTGCGCTTTAACAAATTTAAAACCATTGTTATCAATAAGGGCTTTAAACATAGTAATAAATTGTCTGTTGGTCATGTTTTGAAATTTAATTCAAATAAAAATATTTTCATTTTTTTTTTTTTTTTTTCACTTGATTTTAACTGTTTTAAAAGCACCAACGTCTGATGGTTGCAAAAAACGTCTTGTGTGATCTGGCAAACTCCTAAGTTTAATACAATTTTGAAGAGCTGATTTTCTAACCCGATGTGCAAAGCATGAGCGTTAAGAAATAGAATCTTAAAGCTTTCAAGTTTATTTGTAAAATACTTTTTCAACCGTGCTAGAAACTGTTTGAATTCCATCCATCCTAAATCACTCGTGTTATAAATAATAATCCTTTCATAATCTTTTTATCTATATTAATTTGAGAAAAATATTTACATTAAAGAAAAACGACAGCAAAAAATAAAAATATTTAATGTAATAAACATTTGTAAATTGCTTGGGTCAGTGTATATAGGGTAGCATATGTGTACATAGAGAAAGATTATACTTTCATCTTCCCTATACCATCCATCTTTTTATGTTGGTAAGCTAGCAATTTTACTCAGAAAATTAACTTTTTTGTTGGATAGCAAGTAATTTATGGACAACGATGAGAAGACATAAGAAGGTTTTATTTTTGTCTTTTAAAGTTTTTATTCAAAAACATGTAGTTATTAATAAGTACTTGTGATAAATTATAACAACAAAAGAAAACATTAAAAAGAAATTTTTTTAAATTAGAGCGTACACGTTTTTTCAAAAGTAGTTTTTAAAGGAAAGATTTCCTAAGTACACGTCAAATTTGTTTGAAAATTTACATATAGATTTAAAAAAGGATAAGGAAAATAATGGAAATGGAAGCCTTTTTAACATTTAAACCTAATTTCTAAGTTCTCAGCGTTTAAAAACTTTAAGGTCGGTTTATTTAAAAAAAAAAAAAAAAAAACTATTTTCTAAAAAGATTCCGTGTGAAAATGCAAAAATAGCTTTTCCTCTTTTCAAATCAAGTATTTATTAATATTTTCTTGAAGAAACGATACTTAAGAATTTTGTTCAGAAATTATTTATATAATGTTTTTATTTATTTAGATTTATTAAACACCCACTATACAAGTAAGGTAAATTAAGAATTTCATACAAGATAAATATAAAAAATATTGGAATTTTTTTTCTTTTTTCAACGTAATCATCTATGAAATATTTTTTTAAAGAATGTCCTTAATGATAGTTCTCTGTCTTTTGAATTCCAGCACTCAACTGCACATTTTAGAGTTTAAAGATCCGTATCAGGATTTAAATTTTTGATAACCATGATTTTTTTTTTTTTTTTTTACTTTGCATTATCTAAGTTTGCATTAACATTTTTTTATGTTCACACAACTCAAGACCATACGTTAACGCTGAAACAGCTAAAGTTTTATATAACTGGACAATGGAGTTTGGATGAGCAAAACGGATTTCTGATTGAATTAAGGTTTGGATTACCGTCCAGAAATTAGATATTCGGTGATCAATGTTTCATTTATTAAGTGAGGCAAAAGGTGAACTTTTTGTTCCCCATGTATTATTATTATTTCCTTTATAAATAAACACAATATCTAGGTATTTATGAGTTCTTACAAAAACCAGCAAAAGATTTTTAGCCAAATTGACTTTGGGTGCAAAATTTGCAGCTTACATTAGTTTTTAAGATTTCTAACAATAGTTCTGACCGGAAATAACGATCTAAGAGGATGATTAGACAATGTGGCAAATTTTTTTTTAAATCTGAGGCAAATGCCTTCAAGACGTTTTGCAGGTTGATTGGAACATGGGCGTTTGTTGCATAAAACCGAAGCGCGTTTTTCTATGGCAGACAGTTTCATAAGTTGAGTGCAAGAAATATCACAGTACGCAGGTCAAGCGTAAACTATATGCGAAAAAACTAATGCAAGATATGTTTTCCATGTTAAATCATTAGGAATACTATATGATACCAGGCGATAGATAGCAGACATTCCGGCGCAACATTTCTGATGAACGATTTCGAAGTGAGAGTCCCATTTAAAGTCATTTTATAAAGTCATCCCAAGAAGTTTAATATTGGACTGAGTTTCTAACTTACTGACAGCGACAGCTATTGGCAATCCCTTATTACCCTCAAAGGAAAAATTAATCAATTGAGTGTTTTTCATTATCGACATGCATTTTTTCACGTAGTGACCAACTTAGCAAATTATTCACTTCTTCCTGTGTGTTATCGATGTTATTACGGCCAACATAATGTAATAAGGTGGTGTCATCGGCGTACAAGTTTAATAGATTTTTGAATTATCAAGTACTGACATTCTGTTAACTCTTGAATTATCAAGTACTGACATTTATAATAAGGCAATTCGTAAATAAAATTAGAATCAAGTGTATTTTCATGCCAGGTCTCTGAAAGAGATATGACGTCAAACGTGTAATTTATAATATTTAAGAATTCTTTAAACTTGTCAAAGTTTTGGTTTATGCTCTTAATATTTATTTGTAATATAGAAAATGAATTTGTTTCTTTTTTTCCCTTAAATTCATAAGGATCAAAATACGGTGTTTTTATTAAATTCCTTTGAGTTTCTTGAAAAATGTTAGTGATATTTTTTAAATTGTCTTCAAAAGGGTCAAAAATTATATTTTCAAAACCTTGTTGAAAAATATTATTCGAATCCATTTTTAAGTAAGTATATGAGAATTTACCTATATATATATTTATAAATTATTTATCCCGAGGTATTACATTTTCTGTGCTTGCACATTTATTTTGTCGGAATTCATGGACAATTAGGTTATTATAAACAACTTTAGCATAAAAACCGTTTTGTCTATGAATTTTCGCCTTAGAAAATAACTCTTTTCGAATTTTTCGAGTAGTGCTACAAAAATCTTCATTAATAAAAATATTGGTACCTTTAAGCTTCGATGCGTTATCAGTGATCACTTTTTTGTCCTCGTAGTTGTGCAGCTTCAAAACAATTGTTCGTTCACAATTATTGTTCAAAACTCCAACTCTGTGTGCTCGTTTAATTTTGACTTCTCTTTTGATGTTCAGATTTTCAGCAAAGAGTTTATTTACTTTTTTTTAGTTTTTTCCCAATCTTTTTCATCGCTACTCTTTAGATAAACCATCAATACGCAAGTTTTTTCTTCGATTTCGATCTTCTATGTCAACAGATTTTAATTTTAGGTCGTTGTTGTCAGTTGAAATTTTCCCCTGTATTATCTTTACACTGGATAACTCTTCTTTAACTTTATCAATTTTTTCATTTACACTTTTAACCTTATCGTCGCAGGCATCACCAAAAAATGTTAGGCCAGCTTTGATATCATCAAGATCCTTTCAGGGTTAGGGTTAGGGTTAAGGTTTACGTCTTGAAGGTTAAGGTTTACGATATATATCTTTATAGAACTAGCTAAGTTTTCATATTTTTTGGCAGTGACAGTGCTTCTTTTTCATCACAATCTGGTATTCAACATCCGGCCAAATAGTTTGCAATATTTGGCAAAATACCAAATTGCAAAAAAATTACCGAATTGACCGAATACCAAATAGTCACCGAATATTTGTGATATCTCTTATTATCATTTATCGTATCTGTTTATGAAAATATTGACTGTGTTGATTAAAATAATTGTGTTTGACAAATTTGTTACAATCTCAAATAACTCGATTAGGAAAGAAATTTTCCTGTTGGATAATTTTTGCTAGTTTAAAAATAAATATTGATGAAATCAATTATAAGGTTTTATTTGAATTATGTTGCATCAAGTGTGATTCTTTATTCTTTGGAGATTTACTTCGTAAAAAAACTTTTAATCATTTATCACACTTATGATAAAATTATTAACAACACATTTATGATTTAATATGTTCTTTTTGTTCAACATTTTACACCTTTCTTAAATAGTTACTTAAAATTTTAATCTTGTATGCAGAAATACTTTATTATATTTAATTATATTTTATAATTGAAATTTTATTTGCATTTATAAAAAAAGTCCAGCTTTGTCGTCCATTTGGTACAATATATTCCTTTCAGCATGTCTATGGATTATTACAGGGAATTAAAAAACCCACAAAATAAAACAAAAAGTATTTTAATAACAGAAATGAAACTTATCTACCTAGAGCAATACAAAAATCTTTTTGAAAA